GGGGTTGTTAACCAATGTCATAAAACAACATGTGTACTACTGTTTCATAAGAAACTATTTGTTTTGTAAGCCTTCACCTGAAGTACAATAAAATAAAATAAAAAAAAAGAATGTATGGTACTCGAGGAAGAATTCCAAGCTTCACTGAAGGCATTGGTGAAATACAAGGCTCCAGGAATTGATGGAATACCTACTGACATGTTTCAACAAACAGATGCAACACTGGAAGTGCTCACTGATCTATGCCAAGAAATTTGGAAGATAGCTACTTGGCAAACCGACTGGTAGAGATCTATATCTGTGACTATTCTGAAGAAAGGTGATCCAATAGAATGAGGAAATTATCAAACAATATCATTAATACAATACACAAGTAAAATTTGCTGAAGATAATTAAAAAACAGTTGCAGGAGTATATTGACAGGAAACTGCCAGAAATTCAAGCTGGATTCAGAAGAAGACATGGAACAATGGATATCATTGCTGATGTCAGATGGATCTTGGCTAAAAGCAGAGATATCAGAAAGATGTTTACCAGTGTTTTATTGACTATACAAAGCCATTCGACTGTGTGGATCATAAGAAATTATGGATAACATTGTGAAGAATGGAAATTCGAGAACACTTAATTGTGCTCATGAGGAACCTGTACATAGACGAAGAGGCAGTAGTTTGAACAAGGTGCAAAAACGATGAGGGGGCAGTGTCTGACCTCCTCTAACTTCACAAAGAGGGAAGGAGAACCAAGACCAAAAGCTCAAGGCTGATTCCTATGAGGTGGAGGTCAGACATGCCTCCTCTCTTCACCATCTATACCAGTTCTGACACCAACCATCCCTCCCACAGCCCTCTGTACTGGATTCGATAATTCATTGCAATGGCCACACAACACTCACAGACCATACTCACGATTACGGGGTTTACTAGGGAAGAAACAGTTACAGTTCAGACTCAGGAACAGTCAGAATACAGTTCTTCCATCAGGACAGTCTCTCCCCAACTGTGTTCGCAGGCACATCCTTCCTTGGCCCTCGGCCTCTGTCCAAAGGCACTCAGCTTTCTTTCTCCATGGGCCAGGAAGCCCACCATGCCATCTCCTGCTGCCAGGTGTCTCCTGCCACTGCTTTTCACTGTATTCAAGGTTATAGCTCTCTCTCTCTCCATCTCCTGCTTTCAGGAGCTTCTCAGCACAGGGATCCTGGGTCCAAAGGACGCATTCTCCGCTTCTGGCTGTTCTTTTTTGGTGGTTGTAGGATCCTCCTCTCTGCTCTGAATTTGGCTTTCTTTTAAGGCAAAACTGACCAATTCTCTTGGTAGGCCACAACTACCTTATCACACTGTCCTGCCCAATCACCTGGAGGGGAGTTACAAGACCATGGCTAGAAAGGCCACACAAAAGTAACCAATAGGACTGCACAAAGAAATACTGAGAAGTTTAAAATCAGAAAAGGTGTGCATCAGGGTTATATCATTTCACCGTACCTGTTCAATTTCTTTACTGAACAAATGATCTGAGAAGCTGGACTATATGAAGAACGTGGCATCACGATTGGAGGAAGACTCATTAACAAACTGCGATACGCAGATCACACAACCTTGCTTGCTGAAAGTGAAGAGGACTTGAAGCACTTACTGATGAAGACCAAAGACTACAGCCTTCAGTATGGATTGCACCTCAACATAAAGAAAACAAAAATCCTCACAACTGGACCAATAAGCAACATTATGATCAACAGAGAAAAGACTGAAGTTGTCAAGGATTTCATTTTACTTGGATCGACAATCAACACCCATGGAAGCAGTAGTCAAGAAATCAAATGACATATTGCACTGGGCAAATCTGCTGCAAAAGACCTCTTTAAAGTGTTCAAAGCAAAGACGTCACTTTGAGGTGTAAAGTGTGCCTGACCCAAGCAGTGGTATTTTCAGTCACTTCATATGCATGCAAAACCTGGATGATGAATAAGGAAGACCAAAGAAGAATTGATGCCTTTGGATTGTGGTGTTGGCAAAGAATATTGAATATACTGTGGACTGCCAAAAGAATGAACAAATCTGTCTCGGAAGAGGTACAACCAGAATGCTCCTTAGAAGCAAGGACGGCAAGACTACGTCTCACATATTTTGGGCATGTTATCAGGAGGGATCAGTCCCTGGAGAAGGACATCATGCTTGGCAAAGTAGAGGGTCATCGAAAAAGAGGAAGATCCTCAATGAGATGGATTGACACAGTGGCTGCAACAATGAGCTCAAGCACAACAACGACTGTGAGGATGGCACAGGACTGGGCAATGTTATGTTCTGTTGTACATAGGGCCACTATGAGTCGGAACCAACTCGATGACACCTAACAATAACAACATATGAATGCAAAAGCTAGACAATGAATAAAGAAGACCAAAGAAGAATTGACACCTTTGGATTACGGTGTTGGTAAAGAATATTGAATATACCATGGACTGCCAAAAGAGCAAACAAATCGGCATTTGAAGAAGTAGAGCCAGAACACTGCTTAGAAGTGAAGATGGTGAGACTTTGTCTCAAGTACTTTGGACATGTTATTAGGAGGGATCCGTCCCTGGAGAAGGACATCATGCTTGGTAAAGCAGAAAGTCATCGAAAAGGAGGAAGACCCTCATGAGATGGATTGACACAGTGGATGCAACAACGGCTCAAACATAGCAATGATTGTGAAGATGGCACAGGACCAGTGTTTCGTTCTGTTGTACATAGGGTCACTATGAGTCAGAATTGACTCGAGGGCACCTAACAAGAACAACAATATATTATAATTATTGTATATATATATATATATATATACCTAGTTTTCGACCATTCGAAAAACTTTTTATATGGATTTCAATCTAGATTCCATAGTGCTACAGAAATATATATATATTTTAATACCTGTTTGCTTCACTTGTTCATTTCTCATGGTAAAGTGAATATAAAAAAAGACAAACCTGCTGTTGTCAAGTTGATTCCAACTCATAATGACCCTATACGACAGAGTAGAACTGCCCCATAGGTTTCCAAGGTTGTAAATCTTTAAGGAAGCCACTGCCACATCTTTGTATCATAGAGCAGCTGGTTGTTCGAGCCATCAACCTTCTGGTTAGCAGCCGACAGCTTTAACCACTGTGCCACCAGTGCTCTTTAAGTGAATATATATATATGGTTAAAGAGCTCATGCCATTTCTTCACCTCCTCTTTCCCTTTTTTCCTTCAAATAAATTACTCAAAAATGTACTTGAGACTTTCTAGCTCTAGAAATCACAGTATAAATTTATACATTTGATTGTTGTATCAGATGATTTCCTTTAAAATCTGCTTTCTGTAATTATTTATTTATTAAATACATTTTAACTGAGCACTAAACCCCTAGTATCGGTGGTTTAACACAATGAAGATTTATTTCATTTTCATGGCACAAACCAAAGACAGTCCTCCCACAGCCCTCTCTAAACAATGAGCTAAGTAAGGGTAGTAATGAAAAGTAATGAAAAACAATGTTTTTCATTATGTATTGTATCCAATATGTCTTATACTTCCCTTTGCTTCCCCTATAGAGCTTCACACACTTCCCGATCATTTTATAAAAGAAAATACAAGCTGTTTAAATTTTAACGTCTAGCCCTGTTCCCTGTATCTAGACATAATTTAAAAATCTGGTATACATATATGCCATCCATCAGGTTTCTTTAAATTTAGTGTGAGTCCTAATAGTGAAAAATAGTTTAGGATTTGAGAAGCAGAATTATTTATCTGCTTTTTTGTTCTTTAGTCCCGATGAAGGTGGTGTGAAGATTCTTATGGTACTCATGTTTCAATACCCATCTACTAGTAGTGCTGAAAGAATCAAGAAAAGAATTGAATATATTTTATATCAAAGTCTGAAGATGAAAAACTTGCCTTTGAGTATAAACAAAACATCAATTACACTCACACGTAAGTCTTTTTTTTTAAACCACCTTTGTGATTCCTCCCCCTCACAATCCCCTTTATTTTTCATAAGAATTTAGGTCAACACATTCTTCTATTTCAAGATAAGTCTGAAGGGAACAAAATGTTACAGGAGGGAAGGATAAAGTTGGATAAGAGGCTGCGGTATGGGTGGGGCCTCTATACTGGCTGTACGTAAACGAGCTTCACACCTCCAGTGCCTGCTGCCTGAGAAACCGCCTTCCACCACATTCTCCATGAAGGGAGAATCCTCACTGAGAGTAGGCCATCAGCTTGCATTGACTGAATTCCCACCCTGTGGACCAGGGCCTTGAGATTGAGCCATGACTGGTCTACAATGCCCTTTAGCTCCCTAGAGCTGCCTTTTCAACACTGGCCACTAAGCATATGCCACCCTCACATAGGCTGGTAGACCTGGTATTGTTAACACCAACTGTGTTGGGAATTGGAGGGTGGTTCTTTGAGTTATACTGGAGTCTCCAAAGAAAGAAATCGGTGACATTTATCTTTATTCATTCTCTCCTAATTTCTTAACTTTTCTGCTTGCTAAGCAAAACCCAGAAAATAAAATGTTCTCTGTTTTTCTTTTAAAGTAAAATTATACAGTTTGGACCAAAAATTAATTCAGAGTAGAGGGTAATTTATATATTACTTGGTCGTAAAAAATCTCATACCCTTTTGAAATATTGATGCTTCAGATAATAAGCATTTCCAATAGTGGGCTATTTGCAAAAAATAACATAAAATAGGACACAGTCTTCTGCCAACTAATCCATGCATTGTTTGTTCCAGCTATCGACGGCAAAAAGACGAGGCATCTTCTCAACAATCGTAAGTTTGAAAACCTACAAGTAATTGCTTATTTTATAGCTAAAGATAATGAATAAAAACCACAGAGAAGTGTTTTACTCATTTTGTGTTTTTGTAAACCATTTGCATAGTCCTTTTATTATTGCTTATTATGTCTAATATCTAAAACACTTAAGGCTATAAACTTATGCTAAATATAATTTTATGTTTTATGACTTAGGGGATGTAGTAAAAAAAACTACATAGTATTCCAGCTATTATAATAGGATGGAACTGTATATTTAACATTCTATTTTAATAGTCTTTCTAAATATTTACCTTTTTAAATTCTCTCCCAGTTTAAAATGGCAGTTAGTTAGATTTACTCCTGTTAAAAGCTTTCTGGTTTTCTTGCCAAAATAGCTGACAAGTACATTCTCTGCTCTTCCCCCTTTTGGTACATACTGAGATTTTCTTTGTGGAAAAATATATTTCCATTAAAAATGTTGTAAGGACAATGAAAAACAATGACAATTCTCTATTTGTAATATGCAGAGTTTAACATATTCCTGGATATTTTCATTACTCATATGTTGTTCTTCTCTTCTGTGTTTTCCAGCTTTATGTAAAAGTTCTTCCATTGTGTTCTTTTTCTTTATATACTCTATGTTCTTTATATCTTCTTCATTTGAAACATTGGAGTCTTTACTAATCTATTACTGTTCACCTTTATGTTTGTTAAATAAATATCTAATTCTTCATTTTCTAGTTATCATAGTCAAGAATAAAGCAATAATGATGCATAGGAATTTAACACATTCTAAAATCCTGTTCTCAGCCTCAATCCATTTTCCAAATCTTTGTCAAATAATATCTTGTACAATTTTAATCATTTAATCTTTACATACTGTATCAATATTTTTTCAAGACCTTTTTTAAAATTTTTTTCGACAGTTAAAATTATTTACTCCTAACTTCATATATTAGTAGAATCATCACTAAGGTTTCCTGTTAGCTCTTATTATTTTCCATTCTTGAGTCTTCATTTAGATTTATCTATTCATCTGCTAAATTATGCCCTGAAGTATTTTTAAACAAGAACACTATACAAATGGTATATTTTCTGAGTACTTGCACATGTAAGAACATCTTTCTGTTTACTTTATCTGAATTTAGAATAAACTTTTTAGATTATAGACTTTTCACTTGGAATTCTGTACATATTATTCTGTTGTCTTCTGATGTTTTTGTTGTAGAACTGAAGTTTGAGGCTAGTGTGATCTTTATTCTTAAATAGCTTGTCTTTTTTGTTCTTAGATGAATGTAGAAAAGCTTTATCTTACAACTTTTTGCCAAGAGATCTAGAAGGTTGCATTTTGCTCTAAGTTTTGACTAGAACATTCTGAGCTTTTTCAGTCTGTACACTCTTTTTTTCCTGGTTCTGGAAATGTTTTTTCTATTATAAATTTGATGATTAATTCTGTTCCAATTGTTCTTTTTTTTTTTCTTACTCAGGAATACAAATGATTCATTATCTATGCACCCTTTTTTGTCCTCCATATCAATCATTATTTGTAGTTACAGTTCAGGTTACTTTCCTTTACATTCTAGTAGATCTTAGCAAATCTCTCTTCCTGTAGGCCACTTATCTCAGTTTTCTGATGTGTCACTTTTACACTTTAAAACTTCTATGTGGATTTTGTATCTGCAATGACATTCTATGAAGAGCCCTGGTGGAGCAGTGGCTAAGTGCTCAACTGCTAACTGAAAGGTCTGTGGTTCAAATCCACCCAGTGGCTCCATGGGAGAAAGATGTGGCAGTCTGCTTCCATAAAGATCTATAGCCTTGGAAACCTAGTGGGGCAGTTCTACTTTGTCCCATGGGGTTGCTATCAGTTGGAATTGACTTGACGGCACTGGGGTTTTTTTGTTTGTTTTATGACATTCTTTAGTTTATTGAAATTTATTTAACCACAGACTACTCTGTTATATATATTTTTATCATAGCGGTTATTTTGTTATGTTTGCTGCTTTTATTATATTGAGGCCATATTTTCTTGCATGTCTTTGTTGACACCAAGCACATGTTTACTAAAATTTCTTATTTTCTGTGGAAAATAATTCTACCTTAAATCCATGGTACCCTTTCATAAGCATCTGGTTAAGGTGCTGGGTTTTGGATTATTTGGTCATTCTTTCTTGAAAGTAAAGATATAAATCCAGACTTAGCATTTTCTAACAGACAATATGTGGAGTCTCTTTAGCCTCTCTCTCTTGGGTATGGCAACTTTCACCTCTCAAATCAAGATTTGAAAGTTAGATTAATCTACTCATTCCTTTCCCATTTCCAAGGCTTAGCATACACTTGGAGCACACAGTTCTGCTTAACTACATAGTAGCTTATTCTATTTCAGTTGGAGTATGAGATTTAAAAGAGTACAAATTCTATCTGTTACTGGTGCCTCTCTAGAGCCCAAAGTGGTCCCTGGCACTCATAGGATGTTCAGTATATACTTGCTGAACGGCTCAATGAACAATTTCTCTAATTTTTTTTTTTTTTTTTGAGAGGTGGACTCTAACTATGTTATAAGTTAGATGCAGGCTTACATTCTGATCTTACAAGTGTAGAGCATGAAAATGACCTCAATTACCCCCTTTGCAACACCAGCCCCACCACTCACTAATGCTGGTGCTCTTCCTTTCTCTCTTTAAATTGCTTTTCATGATGTAACTACACTTTTCATACTACTTCCCATCTTTCTTCTATCCCTAAATAGAGTGGTATACTGGGAATCATGGCTTCTAAATAGATAAAGAAAAGAGATGATGAAGCATGGAGGGGGTCACAATGGAATGGTTCAGAATATAGTTTCTGCTTGGCTGGGACAGGTGTAGTGTTTTGTTTCCTGAGCTGGGAGATCACAATAACGGGAGCCAATGGCTTTTCCAATCTTCTTGGTACTCTCTATACAATTCTAGTTCAAAGACTAGAGCTTGGGCCATCCAAGAAGTTGCTTTTCAAACCAACTCATTAGACACTGCTGTTACTGAAAATGTCTACTGGAGTTTATGTTTTTATCTTTCCTTAATTTTTAGTAATTTTGTTCCTTTTCCCTTTGCACAATATGATACACTCAAATTTTTCATCTGTAATATGGAGATATTAACACCTAACATTCAGGGTTGTTCTGAAAATTAGAGAAAATATATGTAACACCATGCACAATGCCTGGCTCATAACTAGCAGTTATTACTTATATTATCATTATATTAATGCATATTTTAAGGAGAAGTTGGGATAGGAAGTATTAGGTACTACCAGTATGGCACTATATCCCTGGGTGGTGCAAATGGTTAACGTGTTTGGCTGCTAACAAAAAGGTTGGAGGTTCAAGTCCACCCAGAGGCACCTCAGGAAAAAGGCCTGGTGATCTACTTCCAAAAAATGTAGCCATTGAAAACCCAATGGAGCGCAGTTCTACTCTGACATAAGTGGAGTTGTCATGAGTCAGAATCGACTTGACAGCAGCTTTTTTTTTTTTTAATATGACACTGTGTTAACCTAGAAACTCTGTTTGTTCAATGTGAAGCTCATTTTAATTGGAAACAATCTCCACTGAAGTTATTTAACACCGGGGGAACTATGATGAATATGTAAATATGGTTTCAGACAGCTACTTTTTTACTATTTCTGAATTCTGGGTGGCACAAATGGTTAAGCCCAAGGGCTGGCTGCTTGAACCCACTCAGAGGCACCTCAGAAGACAGGCCTGGCGATCTGCTTCCAAAAGGTCACAGTCTTAAAAACCCTGTGGAGCAGTTCTACTCTGCACACACGCGGATGCTGTGAGTCAGAATCAACTCAATGTCAACTAACAGCAACAATCAAACTCCTTTTAGGAGGAAAAAAAACTACATTTTTAATAAATACGTAAATAATTAAAAGATACATTAATAACTGTACTAATTACCTTTCAAAACTTATTTAAGGTTGGTTTGAAGTCTAATCAATGAAGGATTTGATACCAGGGAACAGAATTTTTGTTGTTGTTGTTAACTAGTCTTTCAAATTTTAGAAGACCAAAAAAGGGCATTATTGTTTAAGATTGTTATATTGCAGGACTTTGCAATACAATATATGGATTATACATAGTCATATCCAGGGTGAATCATGGCCTACATTCAGTAGTTAAGAATACAGGCTTCAGTGTCAGATCTTCCTAGTTTCATATTTCATTCTGCCACTTACCATCTGGGTTTTCTCCAGAGATTTATGTTCCCTATCTAAGGTTTAGCTTTCTATTCTGAAAAATGTGTTGCCAGGGAAAAAAAAAACAATAAAAAAACACACTTATCAGAGGATCTGTATATTTTTGATGCTCGATAAATTATCTATCTATCCATATATGTTTTATAGACAGAGACAGAAGTTAATTCCTGGACTGGATGCCTTGAAATGTTATTAAATATTTCTTCTGAACCTAAATAGGAGCAGTAGGACCCTATAAAATAACCTCAGAGGCTGAGTGCTAGGAGTGGGTTAAAGCGTAGCAGTGGCAATGGTTTACCGAAGCATCTCCATCCAAGGCAAATTAAGATATGCTTTCTTCTCTCTTTTTCACAAAAACAAGCTAACAGATATTTCTGTGACAGGGTGTGGGATAAGGATGACATCTTCAAACATACCAATACCATCATCCTCTTCTACTGAAAAGATTGTCTTTGGAAGTGAAACAGCTATGGATGGGGAGTGGCCTTGGCAGGCCAGCCTCCAGCTCATAGGCGCAGGCCATCAGTGTGGAGCCAGCCTCATCAGTAACACATGGCTCGTCACAGCAGCTCACTGCTTATGGAGGTAAGTTTACCCTGCTTTGTCCCTTAAATACCTTATGCTTGTTCCATGCCTCTGATCATGTTATTCCCATCTCCCTTCTCTCAATAGCTATGATTCTTAGTTTGTATATCTGGTGTGATTCTTACCATATATTTCCTGGTATTGCCATGATCCTAATATGCCATCTTTCCTACTACAGCATGAATTCTTTTAGCGTAAAGACAGACTATTATCTCAATAAATTTGGTTGTTTTTGCTGTTTTTTTCCCCAATTAATCCCTCAAGCTTCCCACTATTAACATTCACTATTATTTTATAAATAAGAAAAAAAATCAAAGGTATCCCTCTTAGGTTTATGGACAGAGCTGGAGAAGAATGTAGAACAAAATTCTAACACACAAAAAAAAGACCAGATTTACTGGCCTAAAGGAGACTGGAGAAACCCCGAGAGTATGGCCCCCAGACACCCTTTTAGCTCAGTGGTGAAGTCACTTCCGAGGTTCACTGTTCAGCCAGGGATTGGACAGCCCCATAAAACAAAATGGGACTAATGAGGCACAGCAGTCCAGGGACAAGGGCTAGAAGGCAGAAGGGGATGGGAAAGCTGGTGATAGGAAACCCAAGGTTGAGTAAGGACAGTGTTGCTGTGTAGTGAGGTTGTTAACCATTGTCGTAGGGCAACATCTGTACTAACTGTTCAGTGAGAAACTATTTTGTTCTGTAAACCTTCATCTAAAGTGAGAATAGCATCACAATTGGAAGAGCGTAGTCGATGTCACTAAACTGTGCATGTAGAAATTTTTGAAATGGTGTATCTTTGGCTATGTATATTTTCACCAAAAAAAGAAAAAAAAAAGGTCAAGAAGGGAGAGGGTTGACATGTCGTGGGGTTGTTAACCAAAGTCATAAAACAATATGTGTACTACCGTTTAATGAGAAACTATTTGTTCTGTAAACCTTTACCTGAAGTATATATAAAAAAAAAAAGGTACCCCTCTTAAACCTCTTTCTTCTCACTACATTGTCCCTTTCAAGACCCTATTACTTAAAAAAAAATTTTTTTTTGATATCATGTGTTTTCAGTAATGGAAGGCATGCTGAATCAAGGAGTCTTTCTGAATTTATGTTATGAAATATGGATTTTGATACATATTTTGTCGGGAACATACGTCCCACCAAAAATGGCACCCTCTTTTGTGGGAAATACATGTCCCAAAGAACGCACCAATGATCCAATGATAATTGGAGGCACCATTTGGTTACATTGGGTACCTCTGGTTTTCCAAATATCACACACACACACACACACACACACAAAAAAAAAAAAACCCAAACCCACCAGGGCTCCCTAGCTATCACACAAGAAGCCATAAATGTGCTTACAAGACTTATCTAGCTGTACAAAAGCCAAAAGTTTCACCCTGGATGCACTGCTTCATCCCTAAGCCTTCCACCTTAGTGAATTTTCACAAATAAAGTTTCTTTCATTTTTCACCATTACACAAGCCCCCACTGGAGGGCAGTCACTACTTTTAGGAAGAAAAGGAGCCTCCCAAGAAACCTGAGAGCCTGAAAATGTTTGGGGGCAAATTCTGGCCCAAGAACCATGAAAGGAATTTTTTCAGTAATCCTTGTGGGCTTGTGAGATTCAGACAGTTATGTAGAAGGTGGGAGAGGTTTGCTACTCTGTCTCATTGCTGTCACAATATTGCTGTTGAAAATTTGTCATTTACAATTCAGCAGGGGCTCTCTGCATGGGCTTCAGAGATTGTAGCTCTTAAAGCTAGCTGTGTCAGTTTATTTACATGAATATGCACAAGCACCCTGTTGCTGCAGGAGATCAGGGACACACCAGCTTTCTTTCATAGGGTTTCACTATCAGGGTACATACAGAAAGCTTTTGCTTTTAAACACTGAAAAGACAGAAAAGCTTGGAACAATCCCCTTTGCTTGGCTACTGTAACTACTCATGCACCCTTCTAAAAAAGGCTATCTTGGTGATTCTAGGAGGCTCTTTACCATCCTTCTAATGGTAATGCTCCAAATGGTTCCAAGATGCCTACACCTTTCTTATGGAGTAGAGGCGTAAAGAAAACAACCAAATGAATCTAAGGTTATTGTCTGTCCCTTCTCTCACTAGAGAAAAGGGACTCTGTTTATATATATTTGTTGTTGTTGTGTGCTATCCAGTCAATTCTGACTCATAGCAACTGTCATGGATTGAATTATGTCTCCCAAAAAATGTGTGTATCAGTTTGGCTGGGCCATGATTCCTGGTATTGTGTGACTTTCCTGTGTGTTGTAAATCCTGCCTCTATGATGTTAATGAGGGAGGATGGGCGGCAGTTGTGTTAGTGAGGCAGGACTCAATTTACAAGATAGGATTGTGTCCTGAGAAAATCTCTTGAGATATAAAAGACAGAAGTGAGCAGTGAGACAGGGGGACTTCATATAATCAAGAAAGCAGTGCCAGGAGCAGAGTGTGTCCTTTGGACCCAGGTCCCCACACGGAGAAGCTCCTAGTCCGGAGGAACACTGATGAGAAGGCAGACAGAGAAAGAAAGCCTTCTCCTGGAGCTAAAGCCCTGAATTTGGACTTTTAGCCTACTTTACTGTGAAGAAATAAACTTCTCTTTGTTAAAGACATCCACTTGTGGTATTTCTACTATAGCAGCACTAGATGACTAAGACAGCAACCCTATAGGATGGAATAGAACTGCCTCATTGGGTTTCCTAGGCTGTAAATCTAAGGGAGCAAATCACCAGGTCTTTCCTCCCATTGAACCACTGGTGGGTTGGAACCGCTGACTTCTTGGTTAGCAGCTGAGTGCTTAACCAATGCACCACCAGGGCTCCTATATATATTTACAACCCCAAAATAACGGACATCGTCCCTTAGAGGTGAACTTGAACCCCACTAACTTGTTAATGCTTCCTGGTTTTTAATGTTCACACTGTTCTTTGCATTTCTGTTTTGGTTAGAGTAGCATGCACTTTAGTTTATAATTTTCTCTGTTTATGTGGATTAAAAAATAAATAAACCCAGAATGCCAATTTATTAATAATTAATGAAGAATATCACCTATAATTATTAAAATACATGTTACAGCAGATCCAGTGTAGACTCTCTGTATAGAAAGACATGGGAATTGCCCATTGAATTTGACAAAGTGGAAATCCCTGGTGTCCTTGAAAAAGGAAAGTTTGGTGGTATGATGGGGAAGGGAATGTATTCAAGAGAGAATAGAAGGAAAAGGACTGGATGCAGTGAATTTAGAAAGTGCCTTCAAGAAATTTTTATATGAAAGGGAGCTGATAAATTGGGCCATAGTAAAGCGGGGTTGTGGTGTCAAAAGAGGGATTTAAAAGAATATGGGAGACATTATAACATACTTTATGCTAATAATAATAATCCAAAAGAGAAGGGAAAGGTGATGATCTTGGAGAGAAAGGATTATAATTGTTAGGATGGACTGCATGTAATTGCAAAATGTGGTATACTCCTGTGAAGGAAAAATATGGGGTACTTTGAAGACAATATTGTAATCATTCAAACAGATTAAATTTTTTATGAGTGTATTGTTTTTCCTGCAGAAATAGTGTATTTTTTTTGAACGATGTTTAAAACAAATCTTTTCATCTTTATGTCCATGAAAAATGATCCCAGTCACTGTGAAACTGTGGGTGGGGAAAAAGTTATTGACAAAGAATTAGGAGACTTGGACCATCTCTTTCTGACACGAATTAGCTGGGTATTTCACTCACCTGGGCAAGTTACTTAACCTCTGGGTCAGAGTGTCCTTATCCAAAAAGAGTGGGGCCTATTACATGAGGCTTCCTCTCACTGGCAACGGATGAAGGAGTAGGGTATTTCTATTTTGTCTCCCCATTTAGATTTCAAGTTTCATAAGGACTGGACTCTTTGTACCTCCAGAATTCTAGTTTTCAAATGAATGCTTCAGGCTTAAGATTTCTGCTTCTAACAAAATCTCTCCTTAAAGTGTAAATAAGCAAAACAGAGGTGCACAGAACTCCCCAGGCTCTGCCTGATCATCTCTGGGGCAGTGCAGAGCTCTTTGAATACCATTGATCTTTCAGGTTCTTCGTTATACTTAAAAGTTTATGATTCACCAACACAGTAATCCCTCATAAAAGAGGAAATCCCCTTTTTGAATTCTTCTGTGTGATTTCCTTCTACCCAATTTCGTTTCACATACAGAAATTCAAGTTTCTCTACATTTCCAATCATTCTTGATGGGGTAATTAGAAAGAGAGAACTGGTCTTTGGGGAAGAATAGGGATAAAAAGATGACAGGACTAAATAGAATTTGCTTGCGATGCAAACTTGTGAAAGAGAAAAGCATCTGTATGAAGGGAAAGTTGAGAGCCTGGTAAGAGGTACCAAACAGGCCAGATGAAAGGGGGTGGAAGCTGTAAGAGCATGACATTCAGTAGGGCTGTATAGCCACTGAAAATTGGAGTGGGATGGGGGTGTAGGGCAGAGAAACGACCCTGTGTACACATGAGGTTTTGTGAAGTAGATAAATTGCACACACAGTAAGATCCAGTAAACAAGAGCCAGTAAGTGAGTCATAAAATAAGAATGAATCAAGGAGCTGACACAGAGCGTAAGTTATCCATGCATATTATCCAAAACAAATAAAAATTAACACATTTCATTGAGGTTATGAAGACAAAGAACCTGAAGAATTTCTAACAAGCAAGGAATGAAAACATTGGAAATTAACTGTGTAGTACGCACTACTATCATTAATCCAAATAAATAAAGCACTGGAATTTCACTTAGCTGCCATGTTGTCTTCTTAATTTTAGAGGATGTAAAATATTTTGAAGGGCTTTCATATACTCACTTGTATCATCAATGTTTTTAACCTCTTTTTCTCAAAAATCATCAACTGCAAATTCTCTTACTAAGGGATTTTTCAGGAGCAGATCTCCAATAATTGGGAAGAAATACAGTCTCAATCATTTTTATAAGATCAAGTTAAGCATTATAAATCATACCTTTTGATTTTTTTTTTTTTTTTTTTCAGAAATAAAGACCCAAGTCAATGGATTGTTACTTTTGGTGTAACTATAACACCACCTGAAGTGAAACGAAATTTGAGGAAAATTATTCTTCATGAAAATTACCACAGAGAAACAAATGAAAATGACATTGCCTTGGTCCAGCTTGATACTGGAGTTCCGTTTTCAAGAATAGTTCAGAGAGTTTGCCTGCCGGATTCATCTCTAAAGTTGCCACCTAAAACAAGCGTATTTGTCACAGGATTTGGATCCATGGTAGATAATGGTGAGTAATTTAAATTTACTTAACACAAATTTGTCTTGAGATTTAACAATTGTCTTAGGGAATAGTTTAGGCTTTTCATAAAAATAATGTTTATGCTTCCAATGTGTATGGCTCAGGACAGAACAGGGGGCTATGGATTAAAAAATAAAAGGAACTGGGTCCCTGTTCTTTGAGGAGTTCACAATTAATTGAAGCAGTGGTGAGAAATTAAAGACTAATATAGAAGAAAAGAATAGATTGTGTTAGGTGCTGTGAGAAGGGACAAAAAGCTATGCGAGTATAAAAACCAAAACCAGTGCCACTGAGTTGATTCCAACTCATAGCGACCCTATGGGACAAAGTAGAGTTTCCAAGGAGTGGCTGGTGGATTCGAACTGCCGACCTTTTGGTTAGCAGCCAAGCTCTTAACCACTTTGCCACCAGAACTCCATGGGAGTATAAGACAGTAAATAATTAAAAATGGTATACTCCCAGATGTGAATACTACTGGTTAATATATACACCTACTCCTCACTTATCAACTATCTCGTTATCCAACCTTTCACATTTACAACAATAGTAAAAAAATCCACTCTACACTGTTTTGTGCATTAACCACTCAGCGCCCACCCTGCGAGGGTGGATGAGTGAAACTGCCCACCCTGCGGCCTCCCCAGGGATGACTAGGTAGTAGTGGCCATGCGCCAAGCTCTGTCCTGGGGCTAGACCTGTGGGGCGGGCAGCCTCCCTCCGCTCCCTTCCTAGGTTTGCGCTGGGCTGGTTGCGGCAGGCGTCTCCCTGTGTGGTGGCCCCTCCTAAGCCAATGAGAATGCGAGGTGCCACGACGGAAGGTGGAGTGACCAGTAGTGCCCAGGACCCTACTGCCACCACGTCCTGACACCCACGGGACTGGAGAGGGGGCAAGAGAAGCACAGCACCCATGCCAGTCATGGAGGCCCAATTAGTCCTCACCGGCTGCCCAAGCTGCCCTCTGTACTGTTGGGTGTTGACGTTTGCTAGCTAACTTGGAAAGTTGCGCTGGGGGCTCCAAAGCCATGCCCCATCTAACTTCCAAGACTGCCCCACTCACCACCACTACCACCACCCTCTGTGGAGCCCAGGCCCCACAAATGCAGCAGTCCCACCTGCCGGGGGCATGTGAGCCACTGCTTCCCCTAGAGGGCAGGCAGGCTGCACAGCCCCTGCGCCTCCCAAGGCAGCACATAGGCCAGGGGCTCGCCTCAGCCCCAGGCAGCCTGGGCTACCATGGGCATCCAGGGCATGGAGTTGGATTATTGCATAACGCCACTTTCATATAACGACCTCCTGGTCTTTGGAACCTAACCCTGTCAATAAGTGAGGAGTTGGTGTACTTTAAACCACCATTTTAATGACAGTGTTTTGTTTGCTTAAATCCTTTCTAATTTTAATGAGGATTTACAGTAGTAATAAACATGAAAAGCCTTTGTGAATATTTGAAAAATTTTTCATGTTGGTTAGTTAATAGAATCTGTATTTTCTTCCTCTGTCCCACCTCCTGTGTTAAAAGATACCAACTCTAAGAAATTTATAAACTGAAGACTAGAATTTAAGATTTCTAGGTATTAGTTCACTCAGTTCTAAAGAGAAATGGTATGTTTGAATGTTTAAGGTAAGAAATCTAGAAATATGTTTAAGGTTCTATCAATGGTAGAAGTTAGGCGACAAATGCTAATATGCCTTAATCTAGCTTTTTTTTTTTTTTTTGACAGAACTGTCTTGCATGAAAAATTCTCAAATGCCTCATGCATTCCGGTGTGACTTTCTTCTCCTCCTTTACCTCTAGTTCATTGATAGCATCAGTCAGGAGCCTTAAGCTACCTCCTTTCCTGTACTCAGTGTCTAGCTTTCTTCCCCATCACAGCTTCCAGGTGCTGTATATACCTCCTCCTGACCCTGGCCCTGCTCTGTGCTAGCATCAGATTGCTGGCATATATCTGGCATCCACTCTGTTTCTCATGCTCCAAGACACCCCTAAATAGCACACTATTGCATGGGCATGTGTCTTAGTTTCTACTTGAATACCTTTGGAAATCAATGAACCATCCTGGGTCTCAGTTTCCTTATATGGAAAATGTGCCACTTGAACATAATAAGATCATAGTGAAAGATTTATTTGCGAATCTAATAAAACTATGACTCCTCATGAAAAAAATGCACATATACATATACACATGAGATATTGCATGCAGTTTTAAAGGGCCCAATGTCCTTTGAAGATCTAGAAATGTAATACCGGGGCATTATGTTTATGGTTCCTTACCTGGAGACATTTATGACATGGAGAATAAAATGTGGTGATAATTTATGTTAATAAAATAATCTTAGGTTTTTGCTCCTAGGAATATATGTCTTAGATAAAGTTATATTTGAAGAACATTTTTTTTTCTTTTTTAATAGGACCTACACAAAATAAACTTCGGCAAGCCAGAGTAGAAACCATAAGCACTGATGTATGTAATAGAAAGGATGTGTATGATGGGCTGATAACTCCAGGAATGCTGTGTGCGGGGTTCATGCAAGGAAAAGTTGATGCTTGTAAGGTAAGCCCAAAGTGAATGTCAGCACTCTTAAAGGAAAGTTTTATGTCAGCTTCCATTAGCCACTTCTAAATTTAGCATATATTTTACCAGAGAAAAAAAATGGCATCTATTTCACCAGGGGCTAAGATTATTTAATAATCGTAACAACAAAAAATTATTTTATTGAGGGTACTAAGCTAAGTGTTAATCACTTTTTGTAAATTATTTCACTTAATCTAATGAGATAGAAACATACTACAATTATCTCTATTTTACAAATCAGAAGATTACAAAAATACAAACTCCAATTTTTTTAACACTATTGCTAATACCCCAAGATCACTTGTTCTTTCTTTCCAATATTTCTGTCCGCCAAAGTGCCAAACCTGAAAGAACTCAGGCAGTGAAATGTGGGTAGAGAAAATATCACACAACACATTGACTCCACTATATATATAGTCCAAATAATAAAGCTGGCAAGCCTAATATGTTTGTTGTCTGTTTTTTTCCAAATCTACCATTCTCTGAACGTTTTCCAACATTTCCCATTTTCCTTAACTTCTAATTTCCCCCTATGCCTTATTCTCAGCTGATGACTTTGTTTTCCAAAATGTCAAAGAAAAATAGAAGCCATAAGAGGGGAATTTGCTCATCTTCCCAGTACCAAGCATGCAGTCCTAATTTCATCTGGACCCATTTCATCAGCCTTCTGCTTAGGCCACAACAGAGAAGCTGCCTCTTCTCTTTAAGGCTAATCCCTCTTCTTATGCTCTAGTCCCATTCTCTTTGGCCTTTTGGGGAAGTTTTCACTAAATTATTTCCTCTCTCTTTTTATAGTAAACATTTCTCTTGCAACTGGATCCTTCCTTATTGAAATCTCCCAAATTAAGGGGGAAAAAACCAAAACACCCTAGCTTTTTCTTGAACCAGGATACCTCCAGCTATCACCCTACCTTAACCCTTTACTATAGAATATTTGAAAAAAAATGTTTAGACTCATTGTCTCAATTTTCTCACCTTCGACTAACTCAACTCATTTCAGTATAGTTTCTGCCCTATCAAACCACCAATATATCTCTTCCTAAGGTTTCCAATGACCTTTATGTTTTTAAAATCCAATAAATATTTTTCAGTCCTCTTCTATTTTTACTTTTTAGCAGCATTTAATAACGGTTATCTCTCCTTTCTTGAAAAGTTATTTTCTTGGTCTTATAATGATTTTCATCTCTGTCTATTCCTTTTCTGTCTCTTTTTTCAGGCTCATTCTCTTAGCCACCGCCGTTAAATGTTGATCTATCCTATGCCTGTTCCTTCTTTTTACTCTGTACTTTCTCCCAAGTGGATCTAATTCTCCTCCACAGCTTCAATTACCACCTCTGTGCACATGACTAATAAATTTATACTTTCAGCCCTAGCCTCTTCCCTGAGCTCCAGGGAGTTGTCAACTCTTATTTGACAGCTCCACATGGATATTTCAAAGGCATCTCAAATTCAACATGCTGCACCTGATTCTGCTTATTTTCTCCTCACCTAACCTGATCATTCTTATATTTTGTATCTTTATGAATGGCATCTCCTTTTATTCTGTTAAGCAAGCCAGACGGTTAGAAGCCATTCTAACTTTCTCTCGCTATCCCATAGTCAGTTGATTACATAAGTTCGTGGATTTAACCTCCTAAAAATAGCTCCACCACAACTCTTGCCTTTGTCTCTGTCTCTCTCCTCTGGACAACTACATTAGCCATCTAGCTAGTTTCTCGTTTCTTCACATTCACTCTTATGCTCCTTAAGTGCATTAGTCAAACAAAAGGCAGAATGATTTCTAACAACACACTAATCTGATCATGTCAACACCCCTTCTTAAAACACTTCAGTTGCTTACTTTTGGTCCTATGTTAAGATAAAAAAACAAAAAAATTCTAAACAAGACCCACAGGGGTCCACATGGACTAGTCTCTCCCTACGTCTCCAGCCTCATCACACTCCACATGTTGTGCTCTTCTCTCCTGTCCCTCTGCCTGGTTTTCAGGCCCTCCACATGTCAGACTCCTTCCTGCCAGAGCTGCTCCCTCTGCCTAGAACATCTTTCATCCTCACCTGCTGTTGCCTGGTTAACTCCTCCTCCTTCAGATATCAGCTCATTGTGCTTCCTCAGCAGAAACTTTCCTGACTTCTCTGACTAGTCAAATTCTCATACTGTATGCTTTCATAGCCCTGATCAAAGTTGTGGTGTCCCTGAGTGGTGCAAACAGTTAGGGGCTCAGCTGCTAACTGAAAGGTTGGCAGTTCCAATTCACTAATAAGTGCCTCAGAAGAAAAGCCTGGAGATCTACTTCTGAAAAATCAGTCATTGAAAACTATCGAGCACAGCTCTACTCTGACACACATGGGGTCGCCGTAAGGCAGAGTCGACCCCACAGGAACTGATTTGCTTTATTTTTTAAATCACAGTTGTAATTTTGCATTAATTTGTGGCCTTATTTAATATTGGTTTCTTACACTAAACTGCAAGCTCTGTGAGCATAGGGACCTTTGTCTCCTCAGTGCTCATCAAAATGCATTATAGGAATTTAGTAAATAGTTGATATAAGAATGAATAAATGAGTGAAGCAAAAGAGGCACAGAGAGGTTAACTATATTACTCAAGGTCACACAGTCAGTGATTAATAGAACTGAGACTGAAGCTCAGGCAGTTCAACTACAGAGGCCACATCCTTAACCTCTACATATATATTTATTTATTTACTTAATCTTCTTTGTTCCAAAAAAAAATTTAAGGGGGCTTATATAAAATCCAGCATGAAAAAAAAAAAATTATAAATAGCTGGGAGAAAGAAAAAGAAACTAAGAACAGGTGCAAAAAAATACAGCCAAGCTAACATTAACATTGAGATCATTGAAATCGTCAAGCTGTGCACATAAATATTAATCTCATATTTAACATTTGATATACATGCTTGCTAAACTAGAAAAAAAAATTAAAGGATTCTGAACCAGAAATAAGGTAACTATTTCATATGAATGAATGTTAGTCTTGTTAAAAAGTAAAGCACTTTAAAGTTTAGCACAAAATTTTAACTCAATTGAGAGAAACATTATATAATCCATCTCATCTAGCTTTACAGTCTATTTACCAGTTTCTTTTTTTTTCTGTGGAAAAGAAATGATTACAATGATCTTCTACTGAATTAAATCAGAGTTAACATTTCAAATACGTATTTGTTTTTTCTGCAGGGAGATTCTGGTGGACCTCTGGTTTATTCTGATAATCATGGCATCTGGTATCTTGTTGGTATAGTAAGTTGGGGACAATCATGTGCTCTCCCCAAAAAACCTGGAGTCTACACGAGAGTGACTACATATCGAGACTGGATTGCCTCAAAGACTGACCTCTAGTGTGAACTGTCCATGAACTGTATCCATGACACACAGAACTGAAACTCCTCCATGTTGTATATTATTCACGTTCATGTGGTTTGGATCAGTGCCTTTGCTGGAGGTGAAGAAGCCCTTCAGACTCAGAACAATCTAATATCATGAAGTGGTGGCCTTTGTGTACATATGACCCAGCTCTCTCTCCTACCGTGAGGGAAGAAGATACAGCAAATGACAGATAGCACTGACCCCTCACTTACAAGAAAAACTTGTTTCTGATAACTTCTTACTAAGACAAATACTTATAAATGGTTTCCCCCTACTGGAAGAGGGGGAATATCATTTTCCACAGGATATGAAGAGCTGCCAGTGTTGCCAAAATCTTACCTCATATAGTATCTGGAACACCTGGGATTCTTCTAGATAAAAATCCTATAGAAGTCTCCCATGAAGATTCAGAGATTCAAAATTCTAGGACTGATGACTTACTGTACATTCCATGGCTAGAATGGAGAAGCATGGGCTTTGTACTATAACTTGAACTCTAACCTGAGTTTGTATCTAACAATGCAGAACGTTATCGTTAAGTCGTAAGAGTTGCCATTTTAAAAAAAATTTAAATGTATATGAAATTTATTTTAATGTTGTGCTATACACACAAGCACTAGCTTCAGAAAATATACTGTATTATTAAGAAGTGTTTCTGATTTATTTTTTAACGGTGTCTTGTCCTTCAAGAGCATACATAAATTGGAGTTCAGGCCAGAAAACAGGAAAAAAGACTCCTGGGTGCAATTTTCCATGGATACAATGAGGAATAAAAGAATGGATGGGACCAAGGTTAGCAGAGAGTTGGTTTGAAATGAATGGTAACAGGACAAAGACTGTTTCTAGATTTTTGGTGGAATGAGCTATCCAATTATTAGTTAAACAGATCTACATCAGCATACGGCAACTGGTGCTTTGTAGGTTGGAATGTCAGGTTGAGAGAACTGATTTGTATAAAGCACTTAGGACAGTGCCTGGCATATATAAATGTTTATAAATTTAGAAAGGGATGTCCCAATAAGCTTTTTTTTTTTTTTTAATGATAAATCAACATTCATTTTTTTCAAACAAGTAAATGATTTTGGAGCAGAAATACAGCCCAAAGTCTAATGGTGAGTGTAGTGGTGGAAATTACAGAGCTGCTCGAGCTTGAAACTTGTCTCTGCCACTTACAAGCTGTATGTCCTTGCACAAGTTACTTAACCCCTCCGTGTGTTAGCTCTTTCATCTCTACAATGTGGATAAAAATGGTACCTACCTCCTACGGTTGTTATGTGAATTAATTGCATTAATACAAGTAAAACAGAACAGTGTCTGCACACAATAGGGTCTCAGTGGGTATTATTGTTGTAAGTTGCTGTCAAGTTGATTTGAGCTCATGGTGACCCCATGTATGCAGAGGAGAACTACTCCATAGGACTTTCAAGGCTGTGATCTCTTGGAGGCATATCACCAGGCCTATCTTCCAAGGTGCCTCTGGGTAGGTTTTAACCACCAACCTTTCGACTAGTAGTTGAGCACTTAACCATTCAGTGTGTGTATTAGCTGCTAATAATTATGATCAATGTGCTTTGGACTCAATAAACCTTATTGTGTTTTTAAAAAATTTCCCCTTGCTTCTTTAATGTCATGTAGTTGATTTTGAAATACTGTAAATTACATTGTGAAAAAAAATGTTTAGAGACCATCTCAAGGATAGATTTGAATAGATTTGATACCTTGAACACTAATGACCAAAGACCAGACGAGTTGTGACATGACATCAAGGACATCATACATGAAGAAAGAAAAAGGTCATTAAAAAGACAAGAAAGAAAGAAGAGACTAAAATGGATGTCAGAAGAAACTCTGAAACTTGACCTTAAACATAGAGTAACTAAAACAAATGGAAGAAATGATAAAAGAGCTGAACAAAAAATTTCAAAGGGCAGCTTGAGAAGACAAAGTAAAGCATTACAATGAAATGTGCAAAGACCTAGAGTTAGAAAACCAAAAGAGAAGAACATGCTTGGCATTTCTCAAGCTGAAAGAACTAAAGAAAAAATAAAAGTCTCAAGTTTCAGTATTGAAGGATTCTATGGACAAAATATTGAATGATGCGGGAAGCATCAAAAGAAGATGGAAAGGATACACAGAGTCACTGTACCAAAAAGAATTGGTCGACGTCCAGCCATTTCAGGAGGTAGCATATGATCAAGAACACATGACACTGAAGGACGATGTCCAAGTTACAATGAAAGCATTGGCAAGAAACAAGGCTCCAGGAATTGACGGAATACCAATTGAGATGTTTCAACAATCGGATGCAGTGCTAGAGGTGCTCACTTGTCTATGCTAAGAAATTTGGAAGACAGCTACCTGCCCAACTAACTGGAAGAGATCCATATTTATGCCTATTCCCAAAACAGGTGATCCAACTGACTGCAGAAATTATCAAACAATATCATATGCAATTAAAATTTTGCTGAGGATCATTCAAAAGTGATTGCAGCAGTATATCAACAGGGAACTGCCAGAAATTCAAGCTGGATTCAGAAGACGACGTGGAACAAGGGATATCATTGCGATGTCAGATGGATCTTGGCTAAAAGCAGAGATACCAGAAAGATGTTTACCTGTGTTTTGTTGACTATGCTAAGGCTTTCAGTTCTGTGCATCATAAGAAATTATGGTAACATTGCAAAAAATAAGAAGTCCAGAACACTTAATTGTGCTCATAAGGAGCCTGTACATAGACCAAGTTCCAGTCGTTCGAACAGAACAAGGGGATACTGCATGGTTTAAAATCAAGAAAGGTATGTGACAGGGTTGTATCCTTTCACCATACTTATTTAATCTATATGTTGAGCAAATAATCTGAGAAGATGGACTATATGAAGAAGAAGGCGGGATCAGGATTGGAGGAAGACTCATTAACAACCTGCGACATGCAGATGACACAACCTTGCTTGCTGAAAGTGAAGAGGATTTGAGGCACTTACTGAGGAAGATCAAAGACCACAGTCTTCAGTATGGATTACACTTCAAGATAAAGAAAACAAAATCTTCACAACTGGACCAATAAGCAACATCACGATAAATGGAGAAAAGATTGATGTTGTCAAGGATTTCATTTTACTTGGATCCAAAATCAATGCCCATGGAAACAGCAGTCAAATAAAACAATGTATTACATTGGGCAAATCTGCTGCAAAAGACCTCTTTAAAGTGTTAAAAAGCAAAGATGTCACTTTGAGGACCAAGGTGCACCTGACCCAAGTATAGTATTTTTAATCACCTCATATTCTCATGAAAGCTGGACAATGAATAAAGAAGGCCAAGGAAGAACTGATACCTTTGATGTTATCAGGATGGACCAGTCCCTGGAGAAGGACATCATGCGTGGTAAAGTAGAGGGTCAGTGAAAGAGGAAGACTCTTAATGTGATGAACTGACACAGTGGCTGCAACAATGAGCTCAAACATAGCAATGACGGTGAGGATGGCACAGGACCAGGCAGTGTGTCATTCTAGTGTGCATAGGGTCGCTATGAGTCAGAACCAACTTGATGGCACCTAACAACAACAACTAGATTTTATATTTTATTATTCCATTTTACACTATGTTTGTTTATAGACAAGTCATAAGATGCCATGATCATCTGTTGTTATGGCAGTGCCATGAGTATAGATATGTGGCTGTATTCATGTCCAAGCCTCAAGTATGAGATTTGTTTCTGAGATTTATCAGAGAAAAATCTGGCCTATTTGTTTCCTTACTGACCAAAAGTTTTGGTAGTTTATATGTATTTGTGTTTATACTTAACATGTGTATAAAAGATATTTAGAACTAAAAAATGTCTCCTAATTGTTATTTACATCTTAATATTAAGATGTGTTACAAACAAAAGGATCATCCATGTACACTTCCTTTTAAAAAGAAAATATTGCCAAATTTCTGAGTTGATGGCTAGCAATAACTAAACATCACCAGAAAAAGCAGAGTTAAAAAAATTAAATTCTTACTCCCCTTCTGTATATAGAGAAATACCCAAAATTTTCTGGAGAATATTAAATATTCTCAAAATGTGTTTGATTGACGATGAACCTTTTTCACATTAAAGGTCAACATCTTCTTTTGTCAAAACAGAAAAGCAAATATATCCGCACACAAACAGTCAAAACACTTTTCTTTATTTTAGTTATACAACAATGGATATGTTCTTTTCTACAGTTGTATTCATAAGGCTGTTATGTTTACTTCTCTTTACAAGTGTCTGTGAAACTATTTATATTGATTTAAATAATTCTATGCTTAATACAACTCAATTCAATAAAATTTTAACACAAATGAAAGTAATAAATACCAAGAGCCATAAGTAAATATAAGAAATGGAAAAATTGGATTTTTGTAACAGGATTTATATGTCCTTTTTCAAGTTTGGTGTTCGATCTAGTAAATGGTATTACAGAATCATGTAATATCTTTTATCTATGTTTTTCATCTGTCAGTGGGACATTTGCTATCTACCTCATGGCTCTGTGAGACTTTCCTGTTGAATAATGAAGACCAAAATTCAGAGAATGTTTAAAACCTGCTCAAAAAAGTGTGAAGTATATTTTTGTAAACTTGTATCAGTACAAAGTGATGCCATACATGTACTGACTATAATGAAGTCTTTTTTTTTTCACAATGTTAGCATTTTTATTTATCAATAGTATTGCTTTATGTGTTTTGCAAATGTATTTGTGGTTAAAAAAAACATGGCTCTGCCTCTTACATAGTGAATGTTATATTAATATTTGTATCTTTTCCTAGAAAAACCTTATAATTTGCCTGGCTTGTTGTTTAAAGAGACAGGTCAAACCCACTAAACTGACAGTAAGTAATACAGCACATAATCCATATGGAATCTTAATGGAATTTTAGGTGTCATGAGGACTAAAAGGTTAGTTTATAACGCGAAAACAAGATTAGACCAAATTTTTTGCCTG